CTCCTCTTCTTCACCACAGCTATGACATACCACGTCTAACTGCATCCCTCTTTTCATGACTGCCACATTGACTGGTAATATGCCATTGAAGCACTTCCAAACAAAATGTTTAAGTTTGCCTTGAACTCGCATTTTCCAGCTTCTGCTTTTGACTTTCTTAGCTCTCTCTGCTGAATTACTCCCCTCTGCAAAGTCCAGCTTATGTAATTTCTTGCTCATTAGCAAGGAATAAGTTGCAGCAACTGAAAACTTCCCATTAGAGCTCATACACCATTTCCACTTATCCTCTTCATCCATATTTAAATGCTGAATTTCCAGTATTGCAGTGCTATCCTCTTCACAAAATATCTCCTTTACTGTTTGAGCTCTCCAATGTTTCCCTGACTCATCAATCAAGTCCCTAACCTTCCACTGGCTGGCATCAACATTATGTTTCAACTGAGGTTTTCTATTTAAAATCCCAGGAATCCAGTTGTGATCATGCAACTTCAATGATGCCCCATTCCTCACTTCTACTCTTAACCCTTGTTGTAGCAGACCCCTCACCTGCAGCCAGCACCTCCATTGCCAGGACATATTTTGAGAGATTTTTGCATCAAAGACAGAGCAATCTGGGAAGTATTTACTTTTTATTACCTTGCTCATAAGTAACTCCGGTTTTGTAAGAACTCGCCACAGCTGTTTAACTAACATTGCTTCATTGAACAGCTCAATATCCTTAAAACCCAATCCACCTTTATCCTTTGGCACTGACAACACCTGCCAGCTTTTCCAATGAATGTTGTTTGCTCCTCCCTCCCCTTCGCTCCACCAGAATTTTGCAAACAAACTAACTATTTCTTTGCATATACCCTTTGGCAATTTGAAACAAGTCATTACAAATATAGGTAATGCATTAAGAACAGCAGTAACTAATGTCTACTTCCCAGCTGGTGACAAATAAATATTTTTCCAATTACCAATCCTCTTCCTCACTTTTTCCACCACATAACTAAAGACCTCTTTTTTTGATTTCCCTATGCCCAGTGGGAGTCCCAAATACCTCGTAGATCTTTGCAGCTGAATCCCATTCAAAATCTCACAAATCATTCTTTGCTGCTCTAGTTCAGTATTCCTACTGAAGAATATAGAGGACTTGGCTAAATTGACTTTCTGCCCTGAAAAATTCTTATACTTTGTGAGAATATCAAGCAGAACCCTGGCATTATGTCTGTCTGCTTTACAAAACATCAAGGTATCATCTGCGAACAACAGATGAGAGAGCACTGGTCCATTCTTAGCTAATGTCATCCCTCTGAGTTGGCCTCTCTCCACTTGATTACAGATTAAAGAGGATAGCAGTTCAGACACAATTATGAGCAAATATGAAGATAGGGGATCTCCCTGCCGCAATCCCCTAGTTGCATTAAAATAACCACATTCCTCCCCATTGAGCAGAACAGAGAAAGAAGTGGTAGACACACAAGCCATAATCCACTTAACAAATTTCAGAGCAATCCCCATCTTCAGCATAGTCTGACTTAAACATTTCCACTCAATGCGATCGTAAGCTTTAAGCATATCGAGTTTGACTGCCATAAACTTATGTTTGCCTGTTCTGTGCCTGTTCAGAAAGTGAAATACTTCTTGAGCAATCACTACATTATCACTCAATAATCTCCCTGGAATGAATGCAGCCTGAGTATGACCAATGCAACAGTGAAGGCAATTTTTCAATCTTCGAGCCAGTATCTTGGAGATCACTTTATACACCACTGCGCACAAGCTTATTGGCCTAAATTGACTCAAGTTGGTAGGGTTTTTGCACTTAGGAATGAGAGCTAGCAAAGTGTGGTTCCAGTATCTTAACATCCTCCCAGAGTGGAAGAAACTCTCCACGGCAGCACACAAATCGGCTTTAATTAAAGGCCAAAAATGCTGAAAAAATAGAGCTGGCATGCCATCAGCACCAGGAGCTTTCCTTGGATTAAGGCTGAAAAGAGCCTCTTTTATATCCTCTTCCTTCACATCCTCTGTCAACTCTTCATTCATTTGCTCAGTGATTGAGGGGATGATGTTTTGCAGTAGCTCCTGGCCATCTGTGGATCCTTCAGTGGTGAAAAGTTTAGCATAAAAATCAGAAACATGTTCCTCCACTTGTTCTTTTGTCTCACATAACTGGTTCTGCTCTGTCACCAGTCTCTCAATAGCATTCTGTTTTCTTCTCTGAAGCAAAAAAGCATGAAAAAACTTTGTATTTTGCTCTCCTTCCCTTAGCCACTGAACTCTGGCTTTTTGTTCCCAAAATAACTCTTCAGATTGATAAGTTTGGTCAAGCTCCTGTTTGATCTGGTCCCATTCCTCCCAATTTTTATCTCCAGCTTCTCTCCTCATCTCTTCAAGCTTTAAAGTAAGTCTCTGCACTTTACTATCCCTTTGAGCTTTGAAATGTTTACTCCACAGTAATAATGCCTCCCTTGTTTTCCTCAATCTCTCTTTGAGCCTGAAAAGTGGTGTTCCCTGCTGATCACTATTCCATGCCTGAGTTATCACTTCCTCAACTCCCTCCTGCTCAAGCCATCTTTTATCAAAATGAAATCTCCTTTTACTCTTCATGTTCCCCTCTGGATTAGATTCCACCACTAGCATCCCATGATCTGAAGAGCTTCTAAAATGATTAGTTACCTGAGTATTAGGGTATGAGGATAACCACCCCAGTGATACAAACATCTTATCAATAGCCTCCTCCACAAAACCCTCTGCATCCCTCTTATTCCACCAGGTATATGGATACCCTTTCAGCTTGATCTCATGCATATGCATATTTGCAATGAAAGTTTGAAACCCAACAAGACTACCAGTAGTTCTTGTTCTGCCTCCCCTCTTGTCTTCAATGTTGCTTATTTCATTCCAATCTCCAATCACACACCATTTAGCACCCCACTGACCCCTCATCTCCATCAGGTTGGCCCATTGATTTTCCCTAATTCTTCTATCCGAATTCATGTACACAAAAACAACCCACTGTGGTAAATCTTCTGGGAACAAGGAAAACTGGA